AGAACCGCACCTCGTGGCGCACGTGGCGAGGGCCCCAGACCTACCGCCTCCGGCTCACCTCAGACTCGCTGCGGCCTGCGGCCTCTTCCCAAGCCTGGGATGTGGCCCCAGGCTGAGCCCCGCCCAGCAGGCCGCGCCCAGCAGGGCCCCTGGCCCACTCCGCTCTCCACGGGGCTTGTGGCGCCAGGGCTCCCGCCCGAGCGCTGAGGATCCCAAGCTCGAAGCCAGCCTAGACTGGAAAGTTTGTGAGACTCTCGGCGGTGCAGCACCAGCCTTGAGCACAAGCTCAGAGCCCAGGCAGAGCAGAGCTGCCCGCCTGGGGGCAGGGGAGCCTGCAGAGCAGGGCCGTGGGCTCCGTGCCCAGTAGTGAACACACAGCACAAGGAGCGCCCGCCTCTGGAATGAATTTTGACATGGAGTTTAGGAAAGCCAGGGCCTACTTTGGAAAACCTTGTATAAAAGGCTTTGCACATCTCTGAGCCTTCTAAGAGCCGTTTTGCATTTCTACTTGGAAGTTTTACCAGCATTTCATACTCACAAACAGGCTCCCCTCTCCTCCCCCAATTCAGAGATTAAATTACTTCCAAGGCCACAAAGCCACTAGTATGTGAACAAGGTCAGGCTTCTGAATTCAGGCCCTGACTCTACCTAGAATGTCCCTTTCCCCATTCTAATGACTGGTTAGTAAGAGGTATTATTAAAATTAATTTGCATCTTGTTGAGAGCATAATTAATAATATACAAGGTAACAGTGAAACATTTTGAGTGACATACTATTGCAATAATCCACCTAATACAATGTTAAGTTGATTCTAGACATATTACAAGAAAAGTGGGGGTAGAGCGCTAGCCTTGAGCTGAAGAGCTGAGGGACAGTGCCCAGGCCCAGAGTTCAAGCCCCAGGACTGACAAAAAAAAAAGGAAAAAGAGAAAAGGTATGTCCTATATAACAACTAAGTGCATCTAAAATAAAATCTTTGTGGGAAATTTTAATTATGTCATTTATTATGAAGATTAGACGTTTGTGAAAATTAGCATGCATGTATAAAATTCAAGTTAACCCAAATTAACCAAACAGTGCTGAAGCAGCACCTTGTGTCCTGCTGTAGCTGGGTGCTTCCTTAGGCACTTCGCTAGTTCATCAGTGCGACACAAATTAAAGCCATAAACACCTAACATTGTGCTTTCTAGAGACAGTCTAATCAAGCAACATAAACCAATGCAAAACGGGACTTTTTGGCCGCTTATTCCTCCCCTATGACTTGATATCTTTTGTTAAAAAAAAGCTGCCAAGAGATTTTTCTGGGGAAAGGCATACTTTGGCACTATGAAAAGAACGGTGTTTAACCCAAGTAAGGTAAAACTGAAAAGGCCTAGTTAATAAAGAAATCTGAACAAATTTGAGCAAGCTTTCTTTATGGCTCTGTTTAAAAGGACACTTCTGAGCAGCCCGGGGAGGTTAGCTGAGCCTTCCGTAGATGTACTGCACTGTTTCTGTTGTTCAATCACATTAATGTGTAGAAACACAATATTTTTAATTTTGAATAAACTATTCAATTATACGAAAATCATGGAAAATAACTTCCAAAAACCTAATGGGGGGAAAACAGAGGTCTATTAACCTTCCTTAGCTTACTACAATATAGAAAAAACCATGAGGAAAAATGTGCAAAGAAAATTTTGGTCAGTCTTGTGGGTACAAGTCCCACTACTGTCAATGACAGAGGACTGCGCACAATTCCACCTTCATTTACACATCTGATATGGAATGCTATCTGAATTTGGCATTTCAGTACCATGCTACAGAATTCATCATGATTAAATTATCACATTAAACTATGGACAATGGCTGTATCATATTTCGTATTATCACCATAGCACTAAAAAAAGAAAAGAAAGAAACCCCCAGGTCCCAAACAGACATGTAACAAAAACAAAAACAAAGAAAAGAATAAAACCAAACAGCACCTGAGAGGGAGCAGCTTGGTTTGACAGCGCACACTTTTCTCCACTAGATTTAGGACACAACGTAAAAATCTTAGAATGGCCAGAGAAGGTCTTTCTCTGCTGAATTCCAATGTCTGAAAACAATTGCTTGTGTAGATTGTAAGCGCTTTTCCTTTTTAAAAAAGTTTTTAAAATACATACACACAAATCCCAAAGCACTGACATTAAACATGATCAAACCAAGTTCGCGACTGATGATCAGATTCCAAATCCAACTAAAAGCAATGGAGAATAGTGCTCCTCATTATTTTTGCAATTATAAGTAAAGTTGAGCATCATTGCACATTACAGCCATAACAAAACAAAACAGTAACAAGCAAAACACAGCTAATTTTGACACTAAGAACTAAATAACTTTCTATGCAGTATCACAAACAACTTCGGGTGTCCTTTAAGTCTTTGCACACAGACAACCTTCCGAGCTGAGCTTCAGGTCAGGTGCCAAGTGATGGCACGGAGAGCATAGAGGAGCTCTGCTTGCATCTGCGCTTCCATCAAAAGCAGGTTTACGTGAACCTAGAGAGGAAAACATCACAGAACCCATCAGGACCCACTGAGAAGAGTGGACATGCCTGCAGAGTTTTTGTGTTGTTACTTTTTCCTCGTGTGTGTGTGTGTGTGTGTGTATGTGTGCGCGCGCGCGCGCGTGTGCACGCGTGCGTGCCAGTACTGGGGCTTGAATTTGGCCTCATCTGTGTGTTCACCTCGGTTGCTCAAGGCTGGAGCTCTACCATCTGAGCCACAGTTCCAGCCTGCCTTCAGAGTTTTCATATAGATGCTTACAGTGTTGGGTTTTTTTAATGTGCACATAGGCAAAATACAAACACAGAGACGTGCCTTTATTTATGCGTGTACGTGATGTAACATACACGCATTTGTAACAATGGTGCTGCCAACTGCAGTGATAACCTATGTCTCTAACATTCTAACATCTTGATAGATGGTACATTATTAACCTTTTAGAGTATAAAACTAGCCTTTATGAATTATAATCTCCCCACAACTTGTACTTCTGAAAAATGCAATATTTTAAAAGTTTTTTCTTAACATTTACTTGAGAGGTAAAAAGTGAAAACCTCATGACTAATGCAGTTTCAATTAGTGTCTGCTATTCATTAGCTAGATATCATTTTCTGATAGCTTTCTTGTAGTTGTAGATAGAACTGTGAAGAATACTTTTTATGGAAATACTTCTTAGCTGACAAATTAAAAATAGATTTTGTAAATTTCCCACAAGGAAACGCTATGGTATTAAGGTATTTCAATGCCTTTCTATCCATTGAGTATGCTGTTGGATTATTCTCCTGACGAGTAACGGCAGTTTCTAGATAAATGTCAGAAAAGGGGGAAATGAACTGCAAACAGAAACAGGCCTGCAGCCCCATCCGGGCTCGCTGACCAGGAGGTGGGCATCTGCCTGGAGTGAGAGCCCAGCCTCCTCACCACGGCAAGCAGCTGACTTGGAAATGGATCAAAAGGAGGTTCTTGGACTTGGTGGAAATATGGCCAGGTCTCACACTGTGAAGCTGGTAGAGATCTGTATCATTTACTAGGTATTAACTAATGACTCCCATAGAGGTCATTCAAAAGGATATTCCTGGGGGCTGGGAAGGTGGCTCAGTGGTAGAGCGCTTGCCTTGCATGCATGAGGCCCTGGGTTTGATTCCTCAGCACCACACAAGCAAAAAGAAAAAAAGCTGGAAGTGGTGCTGTGACTTAAGTGTTAAAGTGCTAGCCTTGAGGCTGGGATGTAGCTCAGTGGCTTGCCTAGCAAGCACAACATCCTGGGTTCGATCCCCAGTACCAAAAAAGACAAAAAAAAAAAAAAAAGTGCTAGCCTTGAGCCGAAGAGCTAAGTGACAGAGCCCAGGCCTGGAGTTCAGGCCCCACGACCGCAAGAAAAAAAAAAGTAAAACATAGCTTACAATCAAAAGGATATTCCTTTTCGTAACAAAAATACAACTTTTATTCATTTAAATTCAGTCTTCACTAGGGAAATCACCTTTTTCCACACTGATGAAAAGCTGGGTGTGAGATCCGATGGGTTCCTCCTAGGGGAGCAGCCCGTGGAGGGGCATGGTGAGGGCCAGGCCCTGAGGTCAGAGGCCACCACGGCTGTTCTACTCCTGGGGCGGGGGAGGGGGAGGTACCCAAAGGGTTATTCTTATGCAATAATATATTTGGCTCCTGTACTTGACAAGACGTTGTAAAATACTAAATTACTGTGAGAAACGGTGTTCTAAAAGATTAGCTTTGAGGGCTAGCTAGAGTTAAAGACTCTAAATGGCTATGCCTTCTGGGTCAAGATTCAGTTATGCCCAACACTACCTCTTAGAAAGTTTGGTTCTTATTAACAGAACGATAGTTTAAAGGAACTATATAAAGGAGCAGAGTGTACTTTAAAGATACTACTATCTTTCAAAGGCTGGTGCTAAAATTTATACCCTGTGTTGGACAAACACATAACTGAAATTTAGTTATTACTAGACTTGACTTTAAAAGCATTAAGAAACACAGTACTTTAATGATATTTCAATTTCAGTCCATCGGTGTATTACTACTGTCACACGTCACTCTTTATAACCATGGTACTGCTGTACTGAACTCCTGTCTGTGGTATGGTGCTCAGTCTTAACTTTTTTTTTACCTTCTCTGAGTGCTTGAATTGCGGCCAGTAGCTATCATACATGCGCTTTGTAGTTCTCTCAGGATAGCAGGCTACTGTCTTAATGTAAACCTTAAGGCTTCGTTCCAGTAACTGGTTAACTTCTCCATAATCATAGTCATCATACCTGCAGGCAAAAGGACAAAGAATTATCATGAAAACAGTAATTTCTAAGTGGCATCAACAGACATTTATTCTGTAGGCACTACATACCAAAAGCTCATTAATTAACAAGTAACTATTGAGTGCCTGTTACGTGCCTTGTACCCTTTAGGTTCACCAGTGAACAGAAGACAGACATTAACCTCTTGTCTCATGGTGTTTAAATTCTACTGGAATATAAAGAGAAAAACTAAAAGAAAAATATGTAATATGGAGATGCTGCTGCAGAGAAACTGGATCTGTGGTGTAGGAGCAGAGGCGCTGTGATTTCAAATAGGTTGTGCCGGGGCCTCTCTGAGACAAATACCAGCGGTGGTGACGGGCTGAGTGGAGGTACCGGGCCTTCATTCCTGTCGGGGGCTTCTGGCAGGAGAGAGGGGCCCGGGGTCTAATATGCAGCTCAGCAGTCAGGTAAGAAGGTTCCTGTAGTGTGATCATGGGCTGGTCTGTGAAGAGAGGAAAAAGCCTGAGATTTTGCATGAGTTTGGGAGTGACAGGGAGAGAAAAAATGGTAATAGCAATCAGATAATCTACAGAAAAATGAGGTAACAGCAAGATGAAAAAGAAGGATGAAAGGCTCTTCCTTAGAGATAGAAGAAATAATAGCATATTTCAACAGTGATCGCAGGGCTGATGAAGAAAGCAAGTGGAGTCCCCCCCCTTCCCCCAAGATGAGAGGGCAGGGGTTGTCGCAGGTGCACAGCACACTTCCACCTGAGGGAGTGGAGGGTAGGGGACGCAGGCTCAGACCAACAAGGAGGCACTGTGGAACTGGGGGCCTAGGGTTCTCTGTATTTTCAACTCCACGGTATTGTGTAATTAAATAAGAAGTATCTTACTTCACATAAGCTTTGTTTAGTAGCATTCAACAATAAAATAATTATTAAATATATTAACTATTGCCTTGCATAACAAATATTTATTGGACCTCAATTATTAAATTCTACTACCATTTGTTTTTCTGAAGCATTTTTCTTTGGTAATTTATTCTCCAGGATAATCAGTATAATTATTATGTGCAAACAGTATAATTATTATGCACCATGATACTATCACAGTTGAGCATCTCTTATTTGAAATGACTAGTACCAGACGTGTTTCGGACTACAGTTTTTAGAGAACCCATATCTTTAATTTAAAAACCTGAAGTCCAAAATGTTCCAAATCTAAAACTCTTAAAGTCAGAAGCAAAGTTTAGGACTTCAGACCATTCTGGATATCAGATTTCAGATTAGGGCTGATCAACATATAGTGACCCTTACATACAATGCTGTATTACTAACTGATTTGTCAGGAAATGTTAGGATCCGTTAGTTAAAATTACACAAAAAAACCCTTCGCTTAACAAGTTGAATTTTATTACTTTTATTTTTTTTTGGTCGTGGGGCTTGAACTCTGGCCTGACGGCTGTCCCTGCGCTCTTCAGCTCAATGCTAGCGCTCTACCATGAGCCACAGCGCCACTTCCGGTTTTCTGGTGGTTTATTGGAGATAAGAGTTTCACGGACTTTCCTGCCCAGGCTGGCTTTGAACTGCGATCCTCAGATCTCAGCCTCCTGAATAGCTAGGATGTCAGGCGTGAGCCACCGGTGCCTGGCGAATCTTATTATTTTTTATATTTCTTGCTAGTGCTGGACTTGAACTCAGGGCCTGGGTAGTGTCCCTGAGCTTCCTTTGCTCCAGGCTAGCATGGAGCTACCACAGTTAAGCCACAGCTCCACTTCTTGCTTTGTTTGCAGTTTATGGAGTTACGACTTTCTTATGGACTTTCTTGCCTCAGCCGGCTTCAAACTGCGATCCTCAGATCTCAGCCTCCCAAATACTAGGATTACAGGCATGAGCCACTGGTGCCCAGTAACAAGTTGGACTTAAAGTTCATAAAGACTTTCTCCTATCAGACATGATACATTGTGTGGTCATGTAGAATGTACTTATAACTGTAACTCTGCCTCCACCAAAAGGCTTTACAAAGACACTTTCCAAAGAAAAGAGCATTCTCAATGAGACTACCGAGTGTCATTTACTTACTGTCCTTCTGAATGTAGGGGCCATGAATTTATACTGACTGAGAAGTGTCATTTCAGCATCTGTTATTTGTGGGCCTGCGTCAGCACAGTGAGCAGAGTCTCTCCTGGCTCTGCTTATGCTTTGATTATGACTCTTTCAAAAATGCAAATAAACCAAACTAACCAGAATTCATTGGTGATGAAACCAGATGCAAAGCATTTTCCTTTTATAGCCTACCCATTCAGCCAGGAAGGGCTCTCACGTTTGCTTTGGCTCTGTTCTATCCCCGGTAATTACTGTCTCTCCCCATCTCTTCCTTAATACACTCTTACTTGTGTTTCTGTACATGCTTCACTGTTAAGATTCACAACACTTTCAATGAAGGAAATACTTCTCTACAAAATGCAAGTGTATATGTGAATATATGTCCATATACACATGTGTGCGTAAGTGTGTGTGCGTGCACACACACACACACACACACACACGGGCTTTGTGCCGGTCCTGGGGTTGAGCTCAAGACTGCACACTTGCTTGGCTTGCTTGTTTAGCTGGAGCTCTACCACGAGTCAGGGCACTAGCTTGGTTTTTGCTGTTTATTTTGGAGATGGAGAACTTTGTTTTGCTTGGGCTGGCTTCAAAGTATGATCCATGAATCTGACTCCTGAGTAGCTAGGGTTACAGGTGTGAGCTATTGGTGTTGGCTTAGGATGGATTTTTTAAAGTCAAACGTCCACAGGTAGCATTTCCTCCCCAGAACGACTCACTCCTGAGTGGGCGATAACTACGACGATCATCAGGGTGGCCATCTGCGCAGTGCACACAGCTGCCTGCCACGGAACTCACCTGATTCCAAACATGCAGTGCATGTAGTTGAACAAGGCCCTGCTGAGCATGGTGGTGTTGACGGCCCCGCAGGAGGCCAGGGTGCTGCAGGTGAGGCTGTAGACCGTGCGGAACTTCTCGTCCAGCAGCTGCCCGATGTCGGAGTAGAGCCTGTTCACCAGGGAGAACCCGTGGTTCTCCCAGGTGTAGTCCTGGAGGAGAAAGTCTCCCATTACCAAAGGCTATTCTCCGTTGGAGCCCTGCGTGCTTCGGCAGTGTGCTCTAGGTTTGCGGGGCTGCCGTGTGGGCGTCTCCCCTGGAGCCCCATCCCACCCTTGCAGGTCTGGAATGGTCCTGGGTGACCATACACAGTCACAGGGACAGGGGCTCAGCGCCACAGGCAGGCAGAGGACGGAGCTCACACGCGAGCACTCTCGAGAGCCGAGTGTGCAGTCACGCCATCCGGTACAAGGCCGTGCTTGACCTTCTGCCCACATCAGTGGTACAGGATCTTGTCACACATCACTCTCCCCTCTCCAAACAAGGTGTTGACATTGCGCACAGCTATCATGTAAAACCGCAAATAACGAAATGAAGCCAGAGCTTCTCTTCCCTTCGTGGGCAGGGGTGATGCAGACCTAAGTATCCACCTACTGGGGCCTATCAAGCTACACCAGGATGAAGACTGCTAAAGAGGACTATGCATAGATGCTATTAGCACGCCCTAACAGCCCCCCGTGCTTACATTTCAGCGTTTCACGGGAGAGCCTAACAGCTCCTCCTGCGTCTCTCAGCGAGGGCATCACCTACCTGCGCCCGGAATGTTGGCAAATACTTCTTTCCTCGCCTGGCAAAATCTTCGTACCCAAAGCCAGGGTCTTCCACCTACAGAGAAACATCAGCTGTGACTGTCATGTCCTCTCCACAATCGAAGGGAAAGAATGGCGGCCGGTCTTCAGGATTAGATGCAGCTAAGGTAAATACAGAAGACAAGACTGAACGCAGCTGTCCCCTTTCCCAATGGATCTCTGAGGCGACTGTATTAATGATGTGAGCTCATACACAATATTTACTTGTAACATTTGAGCATAATTTTATCCTGGGATGCTGAGGATTAACACTTAATTTTCAGGCAAAAAGTGAATAAACTGAAATATCTAAACAACAGCGCCAAGGATTAAAACACTAATTTTACCCATTAAAAAACTGAAGACAGCACAGTATTGAGCACTCTGGAGATGGAGTGGGGTGTGGGGCACGGCTCAGGAATAGGGGTGAAGACAACTGGGAGCCTCTTATCAGCCTGGCAGGGCCCATGATGTCTCATCCAGATGTGTTTGCGTGAAAGTCAGCTCAACACAGTTGGCTTTTAGCTCGCAAAGACATGGGAAGGGAGGCTGGGCAGGAGGGGGGGGGCTTGGGGGAGAGGCCTGGGGGAGGAGGCGGAGGGGGGGGAGGGGAGGCCTGGGAGGAGGCCCGGCGGGAGGCCCTGCCATTTGCTCACCTGGGCAGTAGTTAAACAGGATGACTCTGTGATTCTGTGACCACTCACGGAGCTCAAACCTAAGGTGTGAGCACTTTGACAGAGTTTAAACCTTTCAGAATTACTCTCTGGAGGACTGATGGGAACCTGTGAGAGCTGTTATCAACACCACATTTAACAGCAACAAGGAAGTTACAATCAGATAATCCCCAGCACCTGAGCCTGACTAATCCACCCTCAAGACGGTAACTTCTTTTTAAAAAGGATCACTATTCCATTGGTCCTGAGGTCTGTTCTTGTGCCAGTACCAAGCTGTTTTGATTACTATGGCTTTGTAATAGAGTTTGAAATTTGGTGTTGATATTCCTCCAGCACTGTTCTTTCTGTTAAGGATCGTTTTTGCTATTCGGGGTCTTTTATTGCTCCATAAGAATTTTTGGATTGCCTCTTCTATTTCCTTGAAGAATGAGGCTGGAATATTGATAGGTATCCCATTGAATTTGTAGAGAGCCTTGGGAAGTATTGCCATTTTCACAATGTGAAAATGTGCTCCAATCCAGGAGCGCGGGAAGTTTTTCAACTTTCTTAGTACTGTTTTGATTTCCTTTTTTAGATTTTTAAAGTTTTCATAGAGGTCCTTCACTTCTTTGGTTATTTTTTTTTTTTTTTTTTTTGTCGGATGTGGGTCTTGAACTCTGGGCTTGGGCACTGTCCCTCAGCTCTTCAGCTCAAGGCGAGCACTCTACCACTTGAGCTACAGCTCCACTTCCGGTTGCCTCTGGTTTATTGGAGATAGGAGTCTCAGGGTCTTTTCTGCCAGGGCTGGCTTTGAACCTCGATCCTCAGATCTCAGCCTCCTGAGTAGCTAGGATGACAGGCGTGAGCCACCGGCGCCCGGCTCCTAGGTATTTTATTTTGCCCCATTTGTTAGGAAATGGAAAAACTTGGAAAAAAATATATTAGTGAAGTAAGCCAGGCCCAAAGAAACGTAGGTCCCATGGTTTCCCTTATTTGCAATAACTAGTATATATCTGAGTCAAGCAGAAATGGTCAGATAAGTTGATGTTAAGCAAAATGAACCCTAAGATAAGGACTCAAATGGTTTTTCTTCTTGCTATTGTTTCTAACATATTTATAAGGTATTTCTTTGTTGCTCTGTATGTCCCTCCCCCACAGTATAACCCCTGTTTTCACTATATTTGATGTTGGTATAATTTGTGGAGGGAAAGGGAAAAAACAAATTGTTTAAATAGGGATACAGGTGGACCCATTGCAACAATGAGATGTATACGATGCTATGTCAAAAAACAAACTTTACGACTTTGGTGGGGGGGGGGATGGGAAGGAGGAGGCAACAATGCTTGATGAGAAATGTACTCATTACCTTGCCCGTGTAATTGTAACTCCTCTGTATGGTATTTTCACAAAAAATTTTAAAAAAAGGATCACTATGGAGACGAATGATTTGAAAGGCTCAACCTTTGTCTTAAATTTAAGCTATTTTAGTGAGACTTCTTATGTGGTGTTCAATATCAGACTCTCAGAGTATTAGAAAAAGCCTATTTTTAAGATAGGGGCAAAGGATGTAGCTTTTAATACACAATAAATTAATCTGAATTCAATCTAAGAAAGTACCCTAATATATATTTCATAAAAATCGTAAAGAAATGCAAATATAAGGATAAGTGTTACAATTAATTTAGAAAAAATTATGTAAGAATACCCTTCATATGCCAACCTTCCAAAATGTCAAGGACTAATCTCGTGAAAAGGGATTTTACTTATCTCTTTTAAATCACAAAATTAGAACAGATATTCCCGTCTAACTTGATAAAAATGGGTCTATTTCAAATAACATCCAGCCTAGAAATCTGTCTCAAACAGACCTGAAATGAAGTGGACCTTGTAAAACCTACCACGAGGGACAGGGCGGGTCTACACAGGTGTCCAGCCAGGTACCCGGCTGACACTTCCTGTCCAGCCCAGCAGAGCAGCGGGGCCCTGGGAGTGACAACAGTCACAGGCGTGCTCATGTGGAGTACCTGACCAAGTACTGTGTGGCTGGCTTACGGTATTACTGAACGCCTCCACGGTGACGTGTATCATGTGCACCCTTACCTGCACTGTTACACTTACGGAGTGTGCTTCTCACAGGTGTCCTGTGAGGAGTGTGCTTGTCTCTCTGGCAGCTGCTCTGCACACCCCATGTGTCGCCCTTCTGTGCATCGGGAGCCCACCGAGGGGCTGATGGATTTGTGTATAATCAACAGCGTTCACACACAGTTTTTTCTTCAGCACACAGCCCTGGCTGTTCAGGGCATGTCCAAGGACACACCTGCCTAAGGCAGAGAGCAGCATCGAGGGCAAGGGAGAGGAGTGAGAAAAGGAGGGGCAGCAGCTGAAGCATTTCCACAAAGCCGTGTGGGTCTGCTGAAGGCTGTGGTGTCGGTAGTCTTCAACCAGCAACAGAGTGAAAAATAAAAGCACCTGGGTGAGGAAATGAATGAAAAGTACCTCCAGACACCACAAAAAGACTTCCTTTCTTCTTCTCAAAACGAGTGGTCATTTCTTCCTGAGAAGCCTCCTCATCTCTCCTCTCTTCTTGCAGACTTTCCATCCTTTCCATTAAGGCTTCTAGCTCACTTAGAGAATCGACAATCTGGAACCAAACACAAGAATGCTGGTGTCATTAGCGGGAAAGCTCGCTCCGTTCTCGACGCCACTACGTGCAGTGGCATGGGCACAGTTGTTAAGGTTGTGTGGAACACACTGACCCACTATTATACAACTATAATTAGGAGGGATATTTCTAAAGAGGTGTCTAGGACAGACAACTATCCAGACAGAACACAGACGAGCGGCTGCTGCCAGGGACTGGGCTGGGGGAGAGGTGGGGTGGGGCTGTGGTGTGCCAACCCTGTCCAAATGTACTGGGGGGGCGGTCAGACTAAGAACTGCTGGGCTGTGTGCTTTAACCGGCTGGCAGGTAAATTAAAGCTAGACTTCGGATCACTGTGTTAGTGCACACAAAATAAGAGGTCTCATGATGACACTTTCAGACGTGTGTATGTTTAATCATATTTAACTCCAAGTTCCCTTTTCCCTACTCACCCACAGATTCCCTCTCAATTCCCAAACAGGGACCCTTGCACTTTCATTCAATTAAAAACAATTCTGAATTTCACATGTGAGAGAAAAGTATTATCTTTCTAAATCTGGCCTTTTTTCTTGATAATTTTTTTAAAAGTTCCTAAGTGAGTATTTTTACTACCTCCAAAGATACACAACAGATTCGAATCTTACAAGCATGATGCTTATGCTTGCTTTATTTATAAATACAAAAAAGTTGTAAGTATATATATATGTTTATACATGTATCTACAATTCTATTTGGTGTATTTTAAACTATACTGAAAAAAGGCAATTTCAAATTTTCTGTTTTTACTTTCTGCTCTCATAAGATACATTTTCTAACGTATCTGTCGCATATGTGAAAAGAATCCAGGGTTCATTATGATTGACTATGCACTAATGATGGTTGAAGACTGATTAACACTAGATTTTTACTCTGTATGATAAAATTTTCAGATACACAGTAAAAAAAAACCCTGAAAAATACTTATTTTCATGATTTGTTCCAGATCTTATAGGCAAAGTGTTAAGAATGTAAGTTTAAAATGTTATAATCCCTAGACTGTAACATTTACTTTACATGATTTGTAGCAACATGATCTGCTTTTTAAAGGCCTCTACAAGACAAGTTGGAACCTGAGGGACTAGTTCAATTTTTAAATTAATTTTTAACTTTATCTTAAAGAAGTTATACAGAGGCGTCACTTCCACATATCTGGTTAGTTGCCAGTGCCGCCCTTGCCCATGCGCCCCCCTCCTCCCAACTCCACCATCCTCTCAAGTTACCCAGCTCCATTTTCACAACTAGTTAAACTTTTTTTTTTTTTTTGGTAGGTCGTGGGGCTTCAACTCTGGGCCTGGGCGCTGTCCCTCAGCTCTTCACCCCAAGGCTAGTGCCCTACCGCTTGAGCCACAGCACCACTTCTGGCTTTCTCTGCTTATGTGATGCTGAGGAATAGAACCCAGGGCCTCATGCATGCAAGGCAAGCACTCTACCACTGAGCCACCTTCCCAGCCCATAGTTAAACCTTTGTAACAGGAAAAACTGTACAAGGTTATTTCAAGTGAATAAAGTCACGAAACATTAAAAAGCTTAAAGCAAAATTGGTAAAGAAAAATAGCTAAGGAAACGAACCCCAAAATTGCTGCGGGTAAGAGATGCATTTTCCATGTTGTTGTCATTAGCCAGATCACAGGCACAGAAACTGTTCTCGGAGGCTAGCCTGAGCTGGTTGGAGACGTCCGGGGCTAGCCTGAGCTGGTTGGAGACGTCCGGGGCTAGCCTGAGCTGGTTGGAGACGCCCGGGTCTCCCTCGGGGTTGATGCCACTGCTAAAAACAAAGCTTGTCAGTGCATGGCCATGGGTCAGGAGGACCACAGCATGCACGAGCTCAGGCAGAGACCAACTGTTTTCTCCAGTTCTGACAAGCTTCTGAAAAGTCAACCAGAATCTGAGTGAACAGGGGAACCACAGAACTCTGCGAAGCAGTCTTAAAAAACAGAGGCCATCTAATTTTATGACTACAGTAATATAACTCTTTACAAAATGTTTCACTTACTGAAGATATGGCTTTGGCTAAACAATGTTACAGTGAAGTTTTCAAAGCTTACAGGGTGACTTCTAAATGCTCTAGAACACAATGGATCTTCTGCCCCCAAAGCCCTTTTATAGGTTATGCTATTAAGATGAGTCAAGAAACATTAAAACTAGAAGGGAATTTAAAGCTATTCTAGCAAAATCACTTTCCCTGTGCTGTTGGCTGAATGATGAAAACCTTCATCTGTGTGGCTCCCAGGTGATTGCCATCAGTCCATAGGGAGTTCTATTAACTCATGTGTTCCCTGCCCTCCTCTCCCTCCCCCTTTCCTTTCCTTCCCTTCCCTCTCTCCCCTCTCTCTCCCTTCCTTCCTTTTCCCCTCCCTCCTCTCCATTCCTCTCTCTCCTTCCCTCTCTCTAATGTGTGCAGGGGCTTTGTCTCTCAGGGTCATTTGCTCACTTCTCTGCCAAAACAAAACAAACTTTATTTTGCTTGACTCTATTGTTAACAACATATTCACCTGTGCAAACACTCATATATTACAAATAGCTTAGGAAAAAGAAAGAAAATAATCAATTGTTTTTTTGGGGTCCGGTCATGGGCCTGAACTCTGGGCCTGAGCGCTGTCCCTCAGCTCTTTAGCTCAAGGCTAGCGCTCTACCACTTGAGCCACAGCACCACTTCCGGCTTTTTTCTTTTTGCTTATGTGGTGCTG